ATATCAACACATCTCCAACTAGAGCTATCACTATTTTAGGTTCAATCCTTAGCTACTTTGCCTTAGAATAGATAGAGCTATTACATCTATACTTATGTTCGCGCACAGGGCATGTCCTCAGCAAGGCGACACAAAGTCATAGAACACAAGAAAAGCAAATCGACCAAAAAATCCACGGGACTTCACTTTTCTATATAATAAAACAAATCCAATCACATTCGTAGATTTTAAATGAGTAAATTTTAAAGAAGAATGCCACAGCTTGACCCTAAGAGAAACTATACGCAAACCCTCACTTCAATAGAAAGTCGAGCGAGAAAAACTTACTGCTTAGACGAAATTAGGAAAAGGCTGTCCGTCAAAGACCGAGAGTGAAGCGAGAGCTGAGCGGTGTCGACATCGAGCAAGGCGTGAGGCGAAAGGGAAAGGCGTAGACGTTGAGCAAGGCGTGAAGCGATAGGGAAAGTTGTAGACGTCGAGCGAGGCGTGAGGCAAGGCTGCGAGAGGGAAAGGCATCGACGTCGAGCGAGGTGTGAGGCAAGAAGGAAAGGCGTCGACGTCGAGCGAGGCATGGGGCGAGGCCGCAAGAAGGAGAGGCGTCGATGTTGAGCAAGGCGTGAGCGAGGTCGCGAGAGGGAAAGGCGTTTGAGCGACGGAGCAAGCGAGGGATTAGTCAGAGGAAAGGGCGAGAGTGAATTGGATTGGAGTAATTTGATTAGGATTTCTATTTTTGAATATGAGTGAGGGATTAGGCAGAGTTAACTAGTAAAGGCGAGAGGGAATTCGGGAAATTGGTAAAAGTGAGAGGGAATTGGGGAGATTAGATTAGGGTTTCTATTTTTTTAAAAAATTTTAAAAAATAAATAAATGTATATGAAAAAAATATAAATATATAGATATCGGTCCAGTCCTATCGATCCGATTGGTCCGGTTCCACCCTGGAATCGAGAACCGGACCGCTCAAAAATCGATTCCACTTTTAGAAACCGGGAACCAGACCGATACTCCCGAGAACCGGACCAAACTGGCCAGCTTGGTCAGGTCCGAGAGGTTCCCGATTTGGGCGGTCCATCTTGCTTACCCTTAGCAAATTCTAGGAGCCAATAAATCGTGAAGCCCTTATACCTTTGCTACTAAAGAGCAAATTGGAAGGCTAAAGTAGACGAAGAATGCAGGAGGGAGATATATCAAGTCAGAGGATGATCAGGACTGAGACAAAGACGAGGTGCTCCTATTGCCGCAAGGAAAAAGCACAATAAGAAAGGTTGTGCGCTAAAGAAGCAACATCAAGAACAACAAGATGCTACAAGGGCTGATGTAGAGCCAACAAAATGGCCTTTTGTAGGCTAGGTGCAGGGCCGGTTGAAGAACCAACAGAAGGGCCTCCTATAGGGCTAGGTGCAAAGACTGCTGCAAGCAAGACAGAAACAACAACCACTGAGTCGACTGTTAAACAGACAATAAAATATCTACTAAGTTGCACTTTATTGTGTTTGTTTTATGTTATTTTATAGGCTTAAATTTAAGTTTCTCTATGCTTTCTCAACTGAGAAGACGACAAACTGCACAAGTTGCTCCCCCATAAGTTGCTGAAAGTGAGGCACCATAGCAAACAAAAGAGGCTATTGGGAAAAGGATAAGGCAATGCGGTTATGGCCTTTACACAAATGAACGTACTGGAATGACTATTTTGAATGTAAGTTTTGTAAGACTCGTACATTTAATTTATGTTATGTTATTTGTATTTCTAATTGTTGATAATATGTTTATGTTGTTGTAGCTTGGAAGATGTTCAGAGGTGTTTATCTCTAAAGGTGGCCCAACTAAAGAGTCAAAGGTTGCGCCAAAGAAGAGTGCTTTGAAGAAGAAGACATTGGATACCGCTCCAAAATAGCCACCAACAAAGAACCCAGTACCAGTTCCATCTTAATCGACTGATCCTAGGACAAATAGTGACCCTACGGATGGCTCCCATCACATGACGTGCTAGAAAGAAAATGGCTGTTGCTAATAAGAAGGTATATGAGACAAGAAAGCCAGTTCAAAAACCTGAACGTTCAACTAGAAATAGTGCAAGGATTATGAATACAACCAAAAGTCCAAAAGGAAAAAGAACCGGTGACGTTGTGCATATTGACTGATAAGAGTTGCTGCCATTGTTGCGCCGTTGTTTTGTTTGAAGGTTTCTACCGTTGTTTTTGTTTGGGTTGGTTTTGACATGTTAGGTGGGAGGGGAACCTTAAGTGATTGGAGAAGTAAGGTAAGAGATTTGTCTTTTGTCAAAAATCAGTTCAATGTCAATGGCAATGAAGTTTTTGTCAATTTTAGGTATATTGGTTTTAGTTTTGACTAGTGATGTGAATGGTTGTTATGTTTTATGCTAGTGCAAGATTGTGATGAGGCTTATGTTGTTTTTGGAAGTAATGGGCTCATGTTTTGTTGCTAGTGGAAGTTGTGGGTGCTAGTGCATTTGTGGGTGCTCGTGCAAGCATAAGATGCACCGGCACAGCGGTGCAGTTATGAGTGCTGCTGTATCTTGTTGCACTAGCAATTGTGCTCGTGCAAGAACAATATGCACCAACAACTTTTTAACCACAATTGACACTTAAGTAATCACTTTCAACCATGACTGACACTTAAGTTATCACTTTCAGAAAAATTTGGCACTCAAACTATTACTATTTACAACTTATGGCATTGAAATAGTCGCTCGTGAATTTGTTACCGCTCCTTAATTTGGTCATGGTTTGCAATAACAGTTGCATCAAACCAGCAAACCATTACTAAGCAAAACATGCAGCAAACCATTACATATGAAGCAAACCAAACATTTGAAGCAAAAACTAAGCAAGCCAGCATTGACAATACACAACTAAGCAAAAAAACTTTTAAGTGCTTACAATCAATGAATTCTAACTTTCCATTTCCACCATAGATTACAACAAACCTTTTGTTCCACGCAACAATTGCAACAAACCAACAACATAACTATAATCACAAATACCCCAATGCAAATACATATTCCACTGATCTTCGACTATGGTAGACATACAAATTTCTTCTTATTACTCACTCCACATTTGACCATTAAATAGGCTACACAAGAGAACAACAACACAGTCAATGCTCGATAAATGTTTCTTTTAATTTTCAGCCTGGAAACTTCCCTCTTCAAATGGTTGGCCAGAGATGTTAAAGCCTTCATTTGAGCTTGCATTGAGTCGACATCCTCCAACTTGTCCATTAATGTGTTAATGTCGTCGTTCAAGTAGCTCCAACATCACCTCCGTCGTTCTACCGGAGTTAGGATGCCCCGTGTGTCGGGATGCCCCCGAGAGTGTTTTGGGATGTCTCGAAGTGGAGATGCCCCGTGTATCAGGATGCCCTGGAGTTGGGATACCCCGGGAGTCGAGATGGAATGATCTGTTAAGAATGAATATGATGCATGTCTATGTGCATGCATAAATGCATATATTCACACGTTGTCTAATTGGTGTGTTTGATCATTGAATGGCATATGATGAGAAATGAATTGAGGTAAGTATATCAGTATCATTAATTGCATGAGAAAGAGTAATACCATGAGGCCCGGTATGAAACGGGCCAAAATGGATGTTACCTTTGATGAGTCAATTCAGAGATGCCAAAGCGAGACCCCTTTTAGAAGGTGTGTGGTTTGGGACGAATCAGGCAGAAGCTAGTGGGCCTGTAACGACCCGATCTGATGAGGGCGAGGAGTGATTGTCGGGAAAAATCATCCAATTGTAGTACTTTAGTTGGGTAAGCAACAATTATGCTAATTATATTAGGGTGCTACTATTGTTAACATATTATTAGATATTATATCTATACCTATATGATGTATTATATAACTAATCAGTAATAATTTTTCTTTTGTAATAAATGTGACATAAGATATATAATAATAACAATAACAACAACATGTTATAAAATGTCTTTAGCCGTAGGACTGTGGATTTGGAACAAGGTTTCTCCAAAAACATGGTTACATTTTTCATTACACGCGGCTTTCTCCTTTTTTGATTATTATGTAAGATTAAATCCTTTTGAATCATCCCTATATACAACCAACTATTGTTCATAATTGCTTCTCTTTGGACAAAAAATGCAAACAGGAGGAGGAGGGGAATACCACAAAGACAAAGTGTAACACTAATGGAGGAAGGGGGTCGGGCAATGGATCATCTAAAAAAGAAAATTTGGGATAGTTATTACGTTCACTGTCATTTAAAAACAAATTTACACATTCATTATTAAATGAGTAACATATGAAATAAATTTGGTTATGCATCTATATTTAAGCACGTATGTTACCCATTCGACGCGCATTTGTAAAAGTTAGCAATCAATCTCATAAAAACCCATAGTTTTTGTTAAAGATTTTAACGAAAATAGACCTATATTATGTCAGCAATAGTATATTTTAGAGTTAATATTACGAAAAATCCTAAGTTAGCACATCTATGATAATTTTACCCCAAACTAACTTTTTATCACCAAAAACTCTAAACTGGTACATCTGTGACAATTTTACCCTTCATTAGTTTCCCTTAAATTTTACCGTTAAATTTCTAAATTCGATGACACGTGGCAGTTGACGGGTATACAAGTTTGGGGTTTTACCCTCCGCTTGTCACAGATGTACCGGTTTGTGATTTTTCGTGATATTAATCTAATTTAACGGAGAATAAATTTATCACAAATGTACTAATTTGGAGTTTTTTTTGGTCAAAAAATTAGTTTAGGGTAAAATTATCACAAGTGTACCAGTTTGAGATTTTTAGTGATCAAAAATTAATTTGGGATAAATTTGTCACATGTATTCTAGTTTGTGATTTTTCGTGGTATTAACCGTAACATTTATAACGTGTAGAAAACATTTAACAAACAACTAATTTTTTTTATTTTGCCTTTTCTTTTCCTGCTCATCTACATTAGTTCAAACTCTAGTTTTTCATCTTATGCCTGAGGATATTTGCTTTGTGTCGGCTTCATTGACTAAACAGATGAGCGAAGTTACCAAACCACGTAGAAACCTTATGCAATTTCCATGTCGCCGACCATGGAGAGCGTGAGATGTTGATGAGCTGAGCATGAACAACCCAGCAAATCTTTGCCCGTCGCTGCCGATATTGAACCATTGCCGGACCCTCAAGTCCGTCAAGACCGTGCAGGCCCTCCTCTGCAAAACCGGCGTTGACACCGATCCTCTGTTCGCCGGAAAGCTCCTCCTCCACTGCGCCATCACCATCTCCGACGCCCTCGACCATGCTCGCCGTCTCTTCCTTCACTTCCCAAACCCGGATACGTTCATGTACAACACCCTCATCCGGGGTTTTTCCGAGTCTGATGCCCCTCGTAATTCCTTCTCATTGTTCGACGAAATGCGTAGGAAATCGGTCGCTCCTCCTGACAGCTTTTCTTTCGCGTTCATGCTTAAAGCAGCTGCGAATCTGCGGTCTTTGAGGGTTGGAATTCAGCTGCATTGTCAAGCTCTGGTTCATGGGCTGGACACCCATGTTTTTGTTGGGACTACTATGATAAGCATGTACGGCGAATGTGGGCATGCTCATTTCGCGAGGCAAGTGTTTGACGAAATGCGTGACCCCAACGCTGTTTCTTGGAATGCGATCATTACTTCTAGTTTTCGTTCCGGGGACTTGAAGCTTGCTAAGGCCATGTTTGATGCGATGCCTTTTAGGAATTCAACTTCGTATAATGCCATGCTTGCAGGGTACACGAAAGCGGGGCAGCTTGACCTTTCTATGGAGGTGTTCTCTGCGGTACCCTTGAAGGATGACGTATCTTGGAGTACTATGATTGTTGGATTTGCACAAAACGGTTGCTTTGACGAGGCTTTTAGATTTTTCAGGGATTTGCAGCGAATAGAAATGAGACCAAATGAGGTGAGCTTGACTGGAGTTTTAGCTGCGTGTGCTGATGCAGGGGCATTTGAGTTTGGGAAAATAATACATGGATTTATAGAGAAATGTGGGTTTTCAAATATCATCTCCGTGGCTAATGCATTGTTAAATACTTACTCTAAGTGTGGTAATATACGCATGGCTCGGTTGGTCTTTGAGATGACGCTACACAGAAGAAACATCGTTTCTTGGACTACTATGATTGCAGGCTTGGCCATGCAAGGTTATGGGGAAGAAGCAATAGAACTTTTCCATAAAATGAAAGGGTGTGGAATTGTGCCCGATGGCATAACCTTCATTTCCATCCTATATGCTTGTAGTCATTCTGGTTTGATTGAAGAAGGTCTCAAGTATTTTTTTATGATGAAAGATATGTATGGAATAGAACCAGCCATTGAGCATTATGGTTGTATTGTTGACTTATATGGCAGGGCTGGTCAACTTCAGAAGGCCTATGACTTCGTCTGTCAAATGCCTGTTGCCCCTACTTCTATCATTTGGCGAACTCTTCTAGGGGCTTGCAGCATTCATAACAATGTCAAGATAGGGGAACAAGTTAGGAAAAAGCTTTCTGAGATTGATCCCACCAATTCTGGTGACCATGTGCTGCTGTCGAACATATATGCTGTTGCGGGGAAATGGAGGGATGTTGCTGCGATTAGAAGATCAATGAGAGACCAGAGAATGAAGAAAACTCCTGGTTGGAGCATGATTGAAGTAGACAAGACCATGTATAGTTTTGTTGCTGGTGAAAAGCAGGGTGAGATTGCTGAAAAGGCTAATGAGAAGTTGACAGAGATTCTGTTGAGGTTAAAGGTTGAAGGAGGTTATGTTCCGGAGCTCAAGATGGTCTTGCATGATCTAGAAGAGGAGGAAAAAGAAGATTCAGTGTCTAGGCACAGTGAAAAGCTTGCTGTAGCATTTGGAATGGCAAGATCGTGCAAGGGTAGCGCTATCAGAATAGTGAAGAATTTGAGGGTTTGCAGGGATTGTCATGCATTTATGAAGCTCGTCTCCAAACTCTATAAACTGGAGATTCTGGTGAGAGACAGAAGTCGCTTTCATTTCTTCATTGATGGTTCTTGCTCATGTGGAGAGTACTGGTGATGGTTAAGTAAGAATAGTTAATGGAGACTCCATGCTAGAAATCATGGCATGAAGTAAACTAGTATGAAGCCTGAAGGATAACAAAAGGGTTTCTTGTTGTATTTTGCTAGGTCAGAGATTTCACTTAGAGGTAAATGGAAAACTCCCTTTATAGAGTGAAACTCTTCTTGGGGCAAAAAAAACAGAAACAAGGAAATGGAAACAACTGGAGGCTTCACATTTCTTCAAGCATCAGCTAAAGCAACAATTTAAGAAGCTTCATATGCAGTCTGGTACTTGTTGATTCGTTTGAATACGGATTTATCAAAAAGCATGATATAATGATGGGGATGCGCTCTGTACGGGTTTGCATGACATCCAACCTTGAAAGCCACAAGCTCGCAAAAGAAGGGAAGCTACCTTAGGAAGTACCCCTTCCAGGAACATCTAGTAGACTCGGCTTCAAAGTGGATGTTCGGTGTGGAGAGCGCATTATTACATGTGTCTGCCTACCTGGTGGGGGGCAACTACATTATTGTGGTTAAACAGGACACCCGACTTTACAAATCTGATGGCCTTGGTGGCTCAGACTGCTCTCTCACACACTTGGGAGATGCAGTCAGTCAAACCTGATTTTGAGGTTTTAGGGATTCCATATTTCCTACCCCCTCTTCCTTGGTAATTGTTATACTCGTGACCTGGTTATTGAGAGCCAGCAATTGGCGCTGGGTTTCATTCAGGAACCAGAAGAAGATCACTATCAGGGTCTTTTTGGTGCCACTCAATGTAGATTAGCCGCCTGATCTTTTTGTGCTGATTGCACTGAATTATAAAAAAAAAATAAACTGTTCAAAGAAGAATGTACTTGCACAAGAGCAGCAAGTTGCATCAAGATTGTTCTTCCATCCATGGAGCTATGCTTTTATGCCTACTGCTTAATCTATCCCATCAAAATTCAGACCTGATGAATATTAAGCTGGTTTCTTCATATATGGCAAGGCTGCAAGTAAGCTCCATTAGATCCACATTTCCAAAGGTAGATTGTAGTTCTCTTAAAATTTCAAGGCGTGTGGCATCCAAACTATCGTTATATTGTGTTGGTTGTTGTTGAGTTGGTTGAAGGAGAAAAGACTAGCCAAACTATGTTATTGATTGAATCGCTACTTACAAATTTATAAGCTGTAGAAGCTTATCTCTAGGAACAGAAAAACAATAAGATCCCAAAATACAAGGAAAATAAATAAGATATTTATCCCTAATGATAAGAAGAATTTTAAAAACAAATCCTAACTGAAATAGGTAAAAAACTAAATCCTAAAAATCTGCTAAGGATCCGCAACACTCCCCCTCAAGCTGAGTTGTACAGACCGTACATACCCAGCTTGTCTAGTAGACTTTCAAACATTTTTCTGGATAGGCCCTTAGTCAAAATGTCAGCTGTTTGATTCCCGGTAGGGATGTATGTTAAACTGATAATTCCATCTTCTATCTTTTCTTTGATGAAGTGTCTATCTACCTCTACATGTTTAGTGCGATCATGATGAACTGGATTATGAGCAATACTAATAGCAGCCTTGTTATCACAATACATCCTCATAGGCAGCTCCCCTTGAACTTGTAACTCTTTCATAAGACGACTCAGCCAAATAAGTTCACAAACTCCGTGTGCCAAAGCTCGAAATTCTGCCTCTGCACTGCTTCTAGCCACAACACTCTGCTTCTTACTCCTCCAGGTTACAAGATTGCCCCAAATAAAAGTACAACAACCAGAAGTTGATCTCCTATCTTCCACTAATCCTGCCCAATCAGCATCTGTATATCCTTCAATTAATCTATTCTCATTTTTTCTGAAAAATAGCCCCTTTCCAGATGTACCCTTCAAGTATTTCAAAATTCTAAAGACAGCTTCCATATCTTCTTCAGTAGGATCATGCATATACTGACTTACCACACTTACAGCAAATGCTATATCAGGTCTGGTATGTGAAAGATAAATGAGTTTACCTACCAAACGTTGATACCTTCCTTTATCTACAAGTGTCCCATCGACTTTCTGCCCGGTTTTGCTTAATGGTTCCATTGGAGTATCAACAGGTTTAGAGCCAAGCATCCCTGTTTCTTTCAATAAATCCAATACATACTTTCTTTGGGTAATGGAAATACCTTCTCTATTTCTTGCAAATTCCATTCCAAGAAAATATCTTAAGGATCCCAAGTCCTTAATTTCGAATTCAGCAGCTAACTTCCCCTACAACCTTGACATTTCCTCTTCGTCATTACCTGTTAAGATAATGTCGTCAACATAAACAATAAGGATAGTACTCTTACCTTCCTTATGTCTATAAAAAAGAGTGTGATCCATCTGTGCTTGACAATATCCTTGTTGTAAGACGGCTTTAGTGAATCTCCCAAACCAGGCTCTAGGAGATTGTTTCAACCCATAAAGAGCTTTGTTCAATCTGCAAACCTTTCCATACTTCTTCGCATCATCAAATCCTAGCGGAAGATTCATATAAACTTCTTCCAAATCACCGTTTAGGAATGCATTCTTGACATCGAGTTGTTGTAGTTTCCAATCAAGGTTTGCTGCAAGAGAGAGAATTACTCGTATAGTATTCAGCTTCGCTATAGGTGCAAACGTCTCCCCGTAATCAATCCCGTATGTTTGGGTGAAACCCTTGGCGACTAATCTTGCTTTGTACCTTTCCACTGAGCCATCAGATTTGTATTTAACTGTAAAAACCCATTTGCACCCCACGGAGTCTTCCCCTTGGGTTTTTCAACAATATCCCAGGTGTTATTCTTCTCAAGGGCACTCATCTCCTCAAATACAGCTTTCTTCCATTGTGGTTCTTTTAACGCATTATGAATATCCTTAGGAAGATTTTCACCTGAAACCCTTGTAACAAAGGCTCTAAAAGAAGGAGATAGATGTCCATAGGAAACATAATTAGAAATAGGATGTTGTGTACATGATCTTACACCCTTTCTATCAGCAATGGGAATGTCGAGCTCACTAACCTTATTAGACCGATCCGGGTCCAAGAATTGACTGCTTTCGGGTTGCACAATGGTCTCCTTATTTTGTTTCAAATTTCTACGTGAATAAACACGTAATTCAGTGTGTAATTGTGGGCTATTGGGTACGGTTTCAGGACTGTTGGGTACGGTCTCAGAGATAGAAGGAGACACGGTTTCTATTTCAATATTGGTTTCGGTAGATGATGGTATAGTGGATAGAGTGATGGGTTGAGATAGCGATTCGGGCATTGTAGGCAATGTAGGGATGGTAGGGACAGATTCAGTGAGCATAAAGGATTCAGTGATTGTGTCCCAAGAATTGTCTTCCTCTATATTTTCTGGTTTCTCTCCCTGAAGAGAATTCTTGAAAAAAGGTTGCTGTTCAAAAAAGGTAATGTCCATAGAGATAATGTATTTTTTATGTTGGGGAATAAAACACTTGTAACCTTTTTTTGTGGAAGAATAACTGAGAAATATGCATGGAATGGCTCGAGGTTCAAGCTTTGAACGAGAAGGATCAGTGATATGAATGAAACACTTGCAGCCGAAAACTTTCAGTGGTAAGGAGGAGACAATTTGGTGATCTGGGAAAGTTTTGCAAAGAATGTTGATTGGTGTCTCATACTTGTGAACTCGTGAGGGTAACCGGTTAATTAGGTAACAAGCTGTAAGGATAGAATCCCCCCAAAGATATGTAGGTACATTAGTTGTAAACATGAGGGAACGGGCTACCTCTAACAAGTGTCTGTTTTTGCATTCAGCAACACCATTCTGTTTTGGGGTACGGACACAAGAACTTTGGTGAATGATGCCGTTGGATTCCAAGTATTTCCCAAGAGTGGAGATGAAGTATTCTGTACGAAAGATTTTGATATTAGTACCGAACTGAGTTTTAACCATGGTATGGAATATTTGAAAGATATGAGAAACTTCACTCTTGTCTTTTAATAGATATACCCAAGTAAGACGGGTATGATCATCTATAAAAGTAATGAACCACCTTTTTCCCGTATTAGTTGTAATACATGAAGGCCCCCATAAGTCACTGTGTATCGAAGAAAATGGTGAGGATGGGATATGTTCATGAGATGAGTAGGAAGAGCGCTTATGTTTAGCTAATTGGCATATATCACATTGAAAAACATCACTTGAAAGGAATAATGATGGAAATAATTGTTTCATATATCCAAAGCTTGGATGTCCAAGTCTGAAATGTAATAACATGAGATGTTTTTCACGAGTCATTGGAAAAGATTCACAACTAACATTGAAAACATTTTTATTAATGCAGAAATCTGAAACAAAATAATAAAGTCCACCGTGTTCCTTAGCACTGCCAATCCTCTTCCCCAAACTCAAGTCCCGAAATTCACAAATAGATGGTGAGAACTGAACCATACAATTCAAATCCCTTGAGAGCTTACTAATGGAAAGGAGATTGCAAGTCAACTTAGGGACATGGAGAACATTTACTAAGCAAATTGTCGGGCTCAAATGGACAGTACCCGACCCTGCAATAGAGGCAAGGGAACCATCTGCAATTTTCACTTTAATGTTACCCGAACTTGGTTGATATGTAGAAAAAATATTTTCAGATCCAGTCATATGATCAGTAGCTCCGGAATCTATTATCCATGGATCACAACCGGTAGATCCCCACGAGAGAGCGATTAAAAAGTACCTTTCGAGCAAGCAAAGAAGTGCTTGCAGCAAGAGGATTTTGTGGAGTTGTCGGGGAGTGAGCAATTTATATAATTGCTCTATCTGCCGCTTATTGAGGGAAGCTGGATCGGATGATCTTCATGCTTCTAGTGACACATCCATAGAAGCCGAGTATCCTCTAGTGTTATGAGGTCTATTATTTTTCAAATCTCCAGGCTTGCCATGGAGTTTCCAGCATTTGTCCCTAGTATGATTAGTTCTTTGGCAATAATCACACCAGAGATTTCCTTGGCATTTGTTTGACCTCGGTTCTCCTCTTTGATCAGCCTTGTTGTGATCATTACGACGAGAAACAAGGGCTGATGATTAAGGGCTGTTATATCGATTTGTTGTTGCCTAACATCACGCGCTTCCTTGATTCTTCACGCCGAACCTCACAAAAAATCTCCTCTATACATGGTAATGGTTTGATTCCAAGAAGACGACCTCGAACCTCATCAAGATCTCTATTTAGACCTGCCAAGAAATCATATGCCCTCTCCTTTGCCATTCGGTCCTGATATTTCTTGGTACATGTAGCACAGGCCATAGAACAGTCATCATGAAGATCTAATTCCTGCCAAATCTTTACCAGTGAGGTGTAGTATTCTGTCACATCGGCTTCTCCCTGCAGTAGATTCCTTGCTGCATTCCGAAGTTCAAATACTTGAGATGAATTATCAAGGTCGGAATATGCCAAATTTAGATAGTTCCGAGTTCGGCGCGAGGAGTAGTAGAGACGGCTACTTTGGATTTTTTTGTCATGGAATTGATTAGCCATGACATAACAATGTTGTTGTTGGCATCCCATGTCTCGAAAGCAGGATCCTTTGAGTCTGGTTTTGATAGAGTACCTAAGAGATATCCGAGCTTACCCCTGTTTGAAGAAGAAGAAAAGAAGAGAAGGGGATGAATGAATTGTCTAACCCTCTAGGTTAGCATGCTCTCTTATTTATACTAATAGTGAGGGTACATAGTAATGTGGTAGACATTCCCACACATGATAGTAAATAGTAATAAAATAACTCTTAATAACTCGTAACACCCTCCCTCAAGCTGAGGCATAGATATCGACCATGCCTAGCTTGTTACATATAAAGCGAACCCGTTGCCCGCCTAAAGATTTAGTCAACACATCGCTGGGCGATCGCGCATCTGAACATGTGAGAGAGTGATACTCCCACG